CATTACACAGTTCACCAGGCTGACTTGTTGACCCATAAGACCAGTTTTAAAAGTAGACATTATTAAGGTAAACTGTGACATTTATAAACCTAACTCCCAGTTTTTCCAGTGGCCTTCAGGGTGCTCTCATCTGGGTAGACCAGATTACTGAAGTATAGAGGTAGAACAAAGACTACCAGGACAGTATTTCCTGACCATGTGCTTCCCAAATCTATCAATTATTTAACAAGAAGGGGGAAGGGCACAACAAATGTCAAAGTGTTGCTTTTAGTCAGAAGAACAAATCAAAACAAAGAGCAATGTACATGTCACCAGTCACTGTAGAAAATGACAGTTGCACCATGGTGACAGATATCCTGATGGGTGCAGACAGTTTCGAATACAAGCAAGCAGTCAGAGATTCTAGTTCCCTTCAAGTACCTGATGCTCTTCACTAGACCTTTAGGGTTCCCACTAAAAGGGCATTAAAACACCACTTAAACATGAGGACACGAAGAGAAAAACAGACAACAGATGGAATACTAATATGAATTCTTAATGTAGTATCTATATTATAGAGATTTCAAAGTGTAATATATTCCTAGGTTCAAAAAGTTTCAAAATGATAAAGGAACCAGTGCAACAAATCACACACTTTAAAACACATTAATATAGGGGCTGGAGAGATGGCTCAGTAGTTAAGAGCACTTGTTACTCTTGCAGAGGATGCAGGTTCAGTTCCCAGCACCCACATGGAGGCTCACAGCCATCCGTAACTCCAGTTCTTGGGGATCCAATGCTCTCCTCTGTGGGTAACAAGTATGTACATGGTGTGCAGACATACATACAGGCAAAACCCTCATACACATAATATAAAGAAACAAATCTTTAAAAAATACATAATATGAAAACTGATCATCCTAAAAGGAGAAAGATATACATTCAGAAGTAAAGAGATTGCAATAGCCGTTTCTCAAAGGACGGATGAAGCAGACAGCAAATCAGAAAAGACACAACAGATTTCTTGGTCTAAGTAACACAGAATGCACCACTAACAACAGAGCATACACTTAAAGCAGAAAAGAATGACTAAAACATGTCTCAATAAATTTTAAAATATTCAAGTCAAATAAAGTTTGTCCTCTGAACACAATGGAATTAAATTAAAAATCAATAGAGATCTGAAAATGCCTAAATAAAACTACACAATGCATTTCTTTTTTTTTTTTTTTTTTTTTTTTTTTTTTTTTTTTTTTTTTTTTTTTTTTGGTTTTTCGAGACAGGGTTTCTCTGCGTAGCTTTGCGCCTTTCCTGGAGCTCACTTGGTAGCCCAGGCTGGCCTCGAACTCACAGAGATCCGCCTGGCTCTGCCTCCCGAGTGCTGGGATTAAAGGCGTGCGCCACCACCGCCCGGCCACAATGCATTTCTAAATAACTCAGAAATCAAAAGAAAAGTCAAAAGGAAAATTTAAAAGTATTTTATGTAGAATGAAAATACAAATGCATGTTAAAATCTATGGGATGTAACTAAAGTAATACTGAGAATGAGAAGGTAGCAACGAGTGCTTGTATTAGAAAAGAAGATCTCAAATAAACTGCTCCAAATATCAGAAAACAGAAGCAGAGAAACCCACGGGAAGCAGAAAATGGGAAGCAATAAGCAGAACAGTCAATAAACTAGAAAACAAAACATCAACGAAACTAAATGTAATCCCAAAGTAAACTCAATAAAAGATCAGTTTCTATGTATTAAGAGAAAATAGCAAGAGAAAAAATTACCGATATCAGAAATGAGAAAGATGACATAACTGTAATTCTATGAAAAATAACGGGATAAAGAAATACAGATTATACATCAAAAATCCATCACCTGAAAAAAATGAACAGATTTCTTTAAAAGAAGCTGCAAAAGCTCACTAAGAAAAAACAGACAAGCTCAGTAGCTCCGGCCCTAGTAAAGAAACTGATTTAAATCTTCTCCAGATAAATGTATTGAGGTTTCATCGCTGGGTCCTACAGAACACTTTCGAAAAACATAAAAGAGGAGGAAACACCTTCCAGTGTATTTTCCTGGGTCGACTTTGCCCAGATAGTCAAACCAAGCACAAATAAAAAAGGAAAACTAGAAATTAATTCTTTCAGTAAGGCACATAAAATACCAACAAAATTTTAGCAAATTGGACCTTATAGCATATAAAAGCATTATACATCATGACCATGTAGAATTTAACATGAAATGAAAGATTTGTTTGACAACTGAAAAGCAATTAATGTAATTTTCCCAAAAACAAATTGAAGACTCATATGAACAATGCAGTCAAAGCATCCGACAGTCAGTCATGGGTGGTCTGTCCTTCCCTCAGATTCTGTAGAGTCTGTATTTTTAGTTGTGGGGTTTCTTTTAAGTTCAGTCTGCTAGCACCTTTCAAATAGATGTTAAATACATACACTTTGATTTTTAAAGTTGAAGTGGGATTTACGTGTGGGGGTGTTTTGCCTGCTTGTCATGTTACATGCCTGGTTCCCTGGAGGGCAGCAAAGGCATCAGATGCACTGGGTACTGGAGTTACAGATGGCGGTGAGCTGCCATGACATGGCTGGGAGTCAAACCCAGGTCCTCTGGAAGAGCAGCCAGTGCTCTGAAACGCTGAGCCACCTCTCAGCCTCATCTTGATTGGTTTTGTACCAAAAAGAGGAGGAGGAGGAGGAGGAGGAGGAGGAGGA